TCGATTCCACAACCCTAACCCTAACCCTAACCCTAACCCTAACCCTAACCCTAACCCTAACCCTAACCCTAACCCTAACCCTAACCCTAACCCTAACCCTAACCCTAACCCTAACCCTAACCCTAACCCTAACCCTAACCCTAACCCTAACCCTAACCCTAACCCTAACCCTAACCCTTAACCCTAACCCTAACCCTAAACCTAACCCTAACCCTATATCAACAAATATATAGATTGTAATGAATATAGATATGAATATAAAGAATATAAATACAGTAGAGAATGTCTGTAAAGGAAAGAATGAAGATTAATATCAGAGCTGTACAGGCTGCAGAGCTGGCTGTAGAGCTGGCTGTTCAATCTCTTCATGGATTTGATGAGATGCACATGAGGTTATGTGAGGTCATGTTACAGTGTTTTTTGCACAGAAAAGTTGGTTTTTCTATAATATAAAGAGAGATTAAACTGAAAATATTAATTTATTATAGAAAAGTATTGAGTGATAATCTGATTCTAAAACTAAGAGCTTATTTCAATTGATATTATAGAATTCTCAAAGCTTATTAAAAGATGAATGAAGTAATTTAAACTTGAAGAAATTTATAAATTGTATACTGACTTTAGCTGACAATTGCACTCAGAGATGAAATATAAAAGTATTTATATTTATTATATAACAATCTACAGAAATGAATCAGCAATATATATAAAGAGATTAATTTATTATATTCTTTTTCTTTTTTTTCTTCTTTCTTTCTTTCTTCTTTTTGTAATAATATCATACTATGAAGATTATTTCAAACTCATTCAATTTTTTTTCATTTTTAGTAAGATTAGTATTCTGTCAGTTGCAATAGAAAACTTTTAATAAAAAAAGTTCTAATTTCAAAATATCTTATCTACAGTATAGTAAAAATATTAATAATTTATAATATCAGCAACAGCAGCAATAGCAGTAATAGTAAAATAACTGATAATAAATATATCTATACAGCAGCTATAAAAGCTCAGAAGAAAGAGATAAATAATTATCTAAATATTTCAACAAAACTATCTGATAAATAAATGATATATAAATACTGTATTGACTATATTTTTCTTCAATATCTGAATACTGCTTGTAATAAGATAGAGGAAAGCTCAAAATCTTACATAAATGTAGTAATTTCAGCTTATTATTCTTCCATGGTGTACACCATCCTCTATTATCAAGAATGGTGTACACTACTGCACTAGTTATTTTGTATAAGAAGAGCTGCAAAGCTTAGAAGCTTTGAGAAGCTTAAGCAATCTTTGAATCACATCTAATAGCATATCTAAACTGAAGAGAGCATACACTTCTAAAAGCATGATAATTCTGCCTATAATGTGAGTTGTAGTTATCATGTCAGTATGGTCATCTCTATGCTTGAGAACTTGATTGTACAAATAAATGGTGAAGTTGGAATACTTCTGATTGCAATGTCAGTAGCAGATAACTCATCTCAAAATATAAAATGAGCTGAGAGTGTAGAAAGACAGTGTAGAGATGAATGATGGTTCAAAGAACCACTCTACTCACAAGCTTAAGAAGAAGATATCAGTCAGTTGTATGATCAAGAGAATATCACCAAGAAATCACTTCATAAGAATGATATTCTTAAGACACAGAGAAAAGTGTATGATTGATGATAATTATTATAAACATCTTCAATCAATATTTATCTCTTGTGTCTGAACCACAGAAAATGCAACTAGTCTCTGAAAATCTATATGAAGCAGTATGTAGAGCAGCAGCTCTTACATCTGAGAATGACAAGCTTCTCATCCACAACATCTTGTTGAAAGAGATTCTAGTGATATGTAATCTTTATCAGACAGAGCTTGAAATACAGAAGAAATGTCAGTGTATGAAAGCTACTCAGTAATGAGTGATGAATGTCATGAACTTTACAGATAGCTTAGCAAATATCAAAAATGAATGAGATACTCAGATGACTGATCTTCACTGAGAACTGAAATATATATATTATGAGACTGAACACTCAGTGACTCTTGAGATTCCACTGTATAGCTTAACTAGTTCACTCAATATTAACACTCCAGCAAATGACCTTAACTCAGCATATATGATACAAACAGTGCTCTCAGAGAATACACTGTCTATCATGAAATATATCAAATCAGATGATCTATCTAACCCACCACACTTTGATAGCAAATGTAAGAATGATACTGCTTTTAACTGATTGAATTGTATGTGTTTCCACTATTATATGAAGTGTGAGCTCATGGAATGACAATTCACTGAATTACAGCAGATCTTACACACAGCATCTATTCTTAGAGAAACAGCTAGATCTCTTTGAATGATAACTGAGAAAATAAATGTGAAGACATCTGATAAACATAAGCTACTGTGAATGTGGGATGATTTTGTAAGATGAATTCTGCATAACTTTGAGAAATTGAATGCTAAAGATAAGTGTTATAAACACTTTGTGAAATACAAGCAAGAAGAGAATCTTGTATTGTACTATATTTATTTCAGCTTGTGTTATCTTATGATGAATCAGAAGCTTCTGACATTCTTCTGTTTACAGATATTTGTATATAACTTGATGTCTGAGTTATATACTGAATGAAAGTGTCTTAACCCACAATCACAGACAGTAGAGCAAGTGTATGAGACTCTACTCACAAGGGAACAAGTGAGCAAGCTGTGAAGATAAGTAGAGAGAATGTTGATAAACACAAGAAGATTCATGTCTATACTCACAGCACCATCACTGAGACACTCAGATGTGATGAATATTAATCTCAATGCTATTGTGAAAGCTTCAAAATCTCTCAAGAAGAATTTGTCAGAGTGAGTGATATGATATTGTAAGCACAGAGCATGCTTTCACTGTGACTGACAGAATTATAATACAAGAGATTGTTGAAGTCATCTGCAGAACAAGAAATCAAAAAACTAGACAGATCAGCAGAGCTGAAGATGCTTACTGATCAATTGCTGAAGATTTCTGAAGTGAATAAGTTGTCTACACTAGATAATTCTCTGAATTCTATAAAAGCTAAAGATAAGATTGATGAAGAGATGAATGCAGAAGAAGAAGCAGACAAGCATCTGAATACTGTAGAACTGTATACACTGATATATAAAGAGTATCTGAGATGGAAAAGAGAAGTGGCAGTGAAAGTGTTATTGAATATGAGTGCTTCAATGAAGTATATTGATGATCATATGCTAACAAAATTGTCTGATATATAATGAATGAAGGAATCTAAATGAGTAAAGCTTCTGAACAATCAATACTTTATCTTGTCTGTGAGAATAAAAATACTTTTACACTTCAAGAGATGATTGTGCTGCATCTGAGTGTATGTACTCTCAGATGTAGAATATGATCTGATCTTGAAGCTTGATTGATTTCAGAAGTATGATCTCAGAATCCATTGATGTATATGTCATATACAGTTGATGAATTGTAAGAATCAAGTTTATATAATACTACTTATAAATATGAGGCACAGATTCTGTGTGCCAGGGATGGAAGACTTGAATCTCATCACTCAACATTAAGCAAAATAAGCACTGTGTAAACCTTCAACTCAGAGCATTCTGTACATCATAAAGAAATCTAAGACAGAGAAATTGCTGTCTGTGAAAGACTCTAAAAATGAAAAGTGTATGAAGACACTGTTTGAAAAGTATAAGAAGATCTTCTGAATAAATCTCCCACCTTCTCTGCTGTCTGAAAGAGAATTTGTTTATAAGATTGATATAGAGAATATGAAATCAATAAATTGCAATGTATACTCTCTATTGCAAATGCATCTTGAGAAACTACAGTGACAGATAGAAGAATTGTTGAAGAGGGGCCTCATATAATCATTCTCTAGCATGTGGGGTTTCTCAGTTCTATTTGCTAAGAAACTGAATGGAGAATGATGTATATACATTGACTATTGAGCACTCAATAAGCTCACTGTAAAGAATAAATATCTGCTGCTGTGAATTCAACAACAATTAGATATGATAGAGAATGTCTGATATCTGACAAAGATTAATCTGCTTACAGAATATTGACAGATTTGTGTAGATGAACTGTCAGTACTCAAAACAGTGTTTAACACTCAATAAAGAAAATTTGAATTTTTTGTGATGTCAATGAAGCTTATGAATGCCTCTGCAATCTTTTAAATAATAATAAATATGATTCTTGCCAAGCAGAACAGCTGATTGTGTCTCATATATTTTGATAATATCTTGATTTTCTTGAACTTATATGAAGAGCATCTACAATATATAGATCAGATGCTCACAACTCTGACAGAGCACAAGCTCTATACTAAATCATCAAAATATATATTTGATATAAAGAAGTTGAAGTTTGTAGAATATTTTGTGAAAGAGGGTTGCATACACTCAATCTCTGAAAAAATGAAGATTATTGTGAAATAATCAAGATCTAGAAATGTACATTATGTATGTCAATTTCTGAGATTGACATCTTATTACAGAAGGTTTGTGAAAGATTTTGTATGAATTACTGCTCTACTGTCAGATCTTCTTAAGAAGATAAATACTAAGCTATATAAGAAGAAATTTTATTTGATCATCTGAAATATCTTCTGTGAAGAGGTCTTTCTGAAATTAAGAGAGCATATGATAACATTCTCAGTGCTTGTTCAATCAAATTGTATGAAACTCTTCACAATTGAAACAGATGCATCAGAATGAGCCATTGAATACTCTCTCTTATAAGTGAAGAAGAATGATAAATTACACTCAGTAGTGTATAATGACTGAAAGTTATTGAATGCAGAGCTTAACTATTCTGTGTATGAGAAGAAGCTTCTAGTGATCAAGTATGCACTAGATCTATAAGATTGATATATCAACAATGAGTATATGACAACAGTGATCATCAATCATGAAAGTCTTATTTATTTGCAAATAACAATCAAACTCTCTAAATGACTGGTACAATGAATATCAGAGTTTCAGATATACAATCTTCAAATCAAATACTGAAAAGAGTCAGATGCTATTATATCAGATGTTATAAGTTGTAGATCTGACTTTATAGAAGAAGACTCAGTGAATGTAATGCAGAAAGAGCTTATACTGATAGCACTGAGGAGTTGTGATGAGACAGAGTGATTGAAAGCCATGATCATCTACTTAAGAGATGGAAGTGTATTGAACAATAAACATCTGACAAAAATGATAGAAGAAATACTTCTGAAATTCAAGCTTATAAAGTTGAAGAAGAATATTGTGCTCTACTGTGATCTTGATTATACTGAGACACTGTATCTTGAGTCTCAGTTTTGATAAAATCTGATAAGTCATATACACAAGAAGTTTGATCACTTGAAAAGTTCAGAACTCTTAGATATTCTGAAAAGTTGAGTATACTGATCAAGTATAGAGAAAGATATTCAGATATATGTATGAGAATATCTGAACTGCCAAGTCTTTAAGAATGTAAGATAAGACTTGAAGTGTAAGAGAGTACAACATCAGATAGAGAGTATGATTAAGCCATTTGAATATTGAGGGATAGATTTTATAGAGGTATTATCAAGAATGTCAAATAGAAACTGCTGAATAATAACAGTAGTTGATTACATCACAGAGTGATCAATTGTGTGAGTGGTGTCAGAAGTGATGAAGAAAATCATTGCTAAGTTTCTATACAATGATATCTATATTAGTTATAGTATGCTCTGTGAGATATTAATAGATAATAAGATAAATCTTGTAGAAGAAGCTGTGAGACACTTTGTCAAACAGTTACAGATGAAGCATTGCATGACAATACTCTATTACTTTTGTATAAATGAAAAAGTTGAATACTTGAATGGAATACTAGACAGCATACTGATGAAATATCTAATAAAGAAGCTTATGAGATTATGAGATGAATATTTTGAATAAGTGTTATTTACAATATGAGTTTGTCAGTATACAGTCTCAAAGTGTTTGCTGTTCTATCTGCTCTATAAGATACATCTATGTATTCTGAAGAATATGCAGAAGTAGATAGAGAAGAAGACAGTGATTGTGAATATGAAAGTAAGAATGAGAGAAGTTAGTCATATTCAAGTAAAAGCAAATGAATTACTGCTCAACTGTGTCATACAAACAAAAAGAATATAAGACTCACTAGTGAAAGAAATGAGCCTTACAGTGGGCACTTGAGTTCTTGTATACAATGAGAAATCTGAGAAGTTCCAATCAAGGTGGTTTGAACTGTACAAAATCCTCAAATCATATTCTCTTGAAATATATGCTTTGAAGAAATCAGAGAGATGAGTTCTATACAATCTCATCAATAACTCTTATCTTATAGAGATGAAAGTAAAAGATCTGAATGAGCTGTGATCATCTGCAGTACTATCATCAGTGTTGAAGAAGAGAGAGCTTACAATAGAAAAGCTCTGAGAAATTAGAGAAATTATTGATGCTTATAAATTAGATGATATCACTTACTCAGACCTCTTTACAATAATCAAAAAGAAATAGAAGAAAATGGAAAAAGTGGATATACAGCATGTGCTGATAAGTGATGAGACTGTCACTGACTGTATGATATTGCAATGTAGACAGTGGGTGCAATATGATTGAGAATGAGTTTGAGATGACTGATTAATATGTGAGTCAGATTGCAAGAACAAAAGAGATTCAGATGAGAATTTGACTGTCTATACTAGCTTGAGTATAAAGATCTCAGAGAATGAACTGTCAGAAATATCAGTGAACACACTAAATCAAGTCAATTCAGCATCTGAGAATGCTCAGAAATTGAGTAAGATTAGTTTCAATGAACTATTTACTGTAGTTATCTGAGCTTGTGAAGAGGGATAGTATAATGTGTGAAGGCAGAACACTCTTGTTGAAAGATATGAGATCTACTGCATCTGATTATTAAAATATAGAACTGATAAAAGATTGTATGAGATTGATGTCAGATAAGAAAAAGAGGAAGAGAAAAAGAAAGTCAGAAAAAAGATCTATTTGTGCACAGTTCTAGTGACTGCTGCAAGAGCTTTGTCTGATTTCTAAAAATACATGAATATTGCAAAATAAAGAAAAAAGAAAAAGACACACATCAATGAAATGTTCAAGTTCAACATTCTCAAAAATAATTTATATACAATAAAAATTAAAACTTGATCTGTATCAAGAACTTTAAGATCTTAAGATGAGTGTGTAGAAGTGCAGAGCATGTCTCTGCCTCACAAAGAGTCTGATGTACTGATTTGATATCCTCAATAAAGAGATTCACAGAAAGCTCAATAAAATAATGGAAATGTATACACAGAGAAAAATCAATCAGAGTGAAGAAGAGTGAGATGAAAGTGGGTAATATGATAGAGCAGATGTCTGAACCTCTACAAGAATAAATGATGAATGCTTATCTGACAGAAAATGAAGAAAGAGAAGAAAGAGTAGAAGTGAAAGCAGAAGTGAAGAAGAATGAATGAGTTGCAAAAGAATTAAAGATGAGAGTAGTAATAGATGTATATGAAGTGGTATCTGAAGTGACTATGAAGCATTAGCAGTCATTATAATACAAAGAAAAGAGTGTATACTTACTGAAAGAACAGAAACTCTTCTTGAAGCTTCACAAATAATTGCAATAGAGATGGGGATGGTCAATGAGATGATCATATGCAGAAAGCAGAATGCAAAATTGAAATGAGTCTTTGCTGTGTATACAACCCACACAAGAAACAGATGTATACTTGTCTTGAGTATAAAAAAGTGCTATATTGTTGTTTGAACTATTCTGCACATGTATTTTCTTTCTATAAATGACTAGTTTGAAGATTATATATCAATACAAAGAATGATAGCATTTGTCTGATAAGCTGAAAGTGTGTGAAGATAAGAAAGTGATGCAAAAACTGATATGGATGAATATAATGTGGGGATCTTCATCTATCATAATCTCAATAATGTGAAGACTCTGGACAATTTCATCTATAACAAATTAAAATAAAATTCATAAATGAAGGGGGGGGAATATTGTATATGCTTGATATAATCTATTTGAATGACAGCATTTTCTCTGAAATGTGTAAGATTGCTAAATATTTTGTACTTGCTTCAAACAAGAGATGTGATCAATGAATAGCTAGTGAAATGAGTTGTATTGTACAAAACTTGTGTATGAAAATATGTTTTTTTGAAAGCAGTGGGTGCAGAAGAGAGATGTGGAGGATAAAGAGAGAAGCTGCTGAAGATATACAATGCCTCTAAAAGAGTAAATAAAAGTGAGAA